GCGGCGTTGGGCAAGGGGGGCGCAGGGGAGGGCGGCGTTTGGCTAGGGGCGGCGGAGGGGAGGGCAGCGTTGGGCTAGGGGGGCGCAGGGGAGGGCGTTGTTTGACTATGGGGGCGCAGGGGTGAGCAGCGTTGGGCAAGGGGGGCGCAGGGGAGGGCGGCGTTGGGCAAGGGGGGCGCAGGGGAGGGCGTCGTTTGGCTATGGGGGTGCAGGGGAGAGCAGCGTACGGCTATGGGGGCGCAGGGGAGGGCGGCGTTGGGCCGGGGGGTGATGGGGAGGGCGGCGTTTGGCTATGGGGGCGCAGGGGAGAGCAGCGTTGGGCAAGGGGGGCGGAGGGGAGGGCAGCGTTGGGCTAGGGGGTGCGCAGGGGAGGGCGGCGTTTGGCTATGGGGGCGCAGGGAGAGCAGCGTTCGGCAAGGGGGGCGCAGGGGAGGGCGGCGTTGGGCAAGGGGGGCGCAGGGGAGGGCGGCGTTGGGCAAGGGGGGCACAGGGGAGGGCGGCGTTTAGCTAGGGGCGGTGGAGGGGAGGGCAGTGTTTGGCTAGGGGGGCGCAGGGGAGGGCGTCGTTTGGCTATGGGGGTGCAGGGGAGAGCAGCGTACGGCTAGGGGGGCGCAGGGGAGGGCGTCGTTGGGGTAGGGGGCCGCAGGGAAGGGCGTCGTTGCGCTAGGGGGGTGCAGGGGAGGTTGTCAACCAAGCACCTCCACCCTTCATCCCTTCCCCCTTCACCTCCTCCACCGTCGCCACTGCCACCATCTCCACCTCCGCCCCGCATCCCCCTCTCCTCTCTCCCCCCTATCCCCACCTCCTATAGGATACAGCTATCTCTTCCCCGCATCCCCCTCTCCTCTCTCCCCCCCATATCCAACTTTGCTATCTTCCTCCCTTCTTCAATGTGTGTTCACATCACCCGATGATGCAAAAGGAGGAGAAACATTTCTATAAAATACCTTATGGACTACGGTCTCACCTGTTAGGTTGTCGGGGCTCCACTGCATTTCCGCCTGGCCCTTCGGCGGACTCCGGACTCCACTCCATGTCCACCGCCACTGGAGACGAGGCGCCTACACTAGTGTACTGACAGTACTGACAGGGAGGACCTAGCTTCAAATCGCTGATGATCTACATGTGACGTGTCTGCTAGTTTCGTTTATTGTACCTGTTTCATCTCCCATGCATTCCCATCCGTTCTCACCTGCACCTCCGTCGCCAACCGTTGCTTCTTCAGTGGCAACAATACGGATCTCCACCTCTCCATCCGTCCCAATGTGTCCAGGTGATCCGTCACCTGGGAATAGCAGGGCATACGACCACGACACCATGAAGGGTTCATTGTCATCCCCGCAGTCGCATGTGACACGGTTGCCCGTGATGTCGCCTGAGTCG